AAATGTTAGACCAGTGGCTCTCAATCTTTTCTGCTCCATGCACCTCTTTCATAATCTAAATTCCATGCATTCACATCTTTTCCAAGACTCAGAAAACACACAAACATATATATATCAAAACTTACTTCACTGAAAAAGGTATATGACATTTGTGGACTTACTTTTATTTTAGTCAAAAATTCTCTTAGAGAATAAAACACCTCTATTCAAAATTTCTATATCTCTAAAGAAAGCTTGTATTAACTACTTTTTTTTTAATTTCTTATCTAAAGTGAAATAATTATTACTTGAATCTTAATCGGAGGTAATAGTTGGATGACTAGATAAGAAACTTAATGTAAATGTGTACAAAGATCTTGTTTCTTTCCCTTTTAAATATTATTTACACTGTCTTTCTACTATTTTGCAAATTTAATAAATGGCAAATTTTGCTTTTCCTAAAAAAATGGGGCTTCTAGTTTCAAAGACTTATTGTATTGATTATGTGAATCTTTTATAACCTATATTTTTCCTTTTCCTCAACTTTAAGCCAGTTCTGTGTTTGCGTTTTAAGATTTTACAGAAGACAGTATCTTTTAGAAGTTTCTTACGCTGACATTTGGGAGTTGACAATCACCCTTCTCATAGGAAAAAAATTTTACAGACCGCACCCAATGTTTAGCCCCCTACACACAAAGTTTAACAGGATAGGCCATTCTGAACACCTGTTAAAATGCTTCGTTCTGCTATTGGACACTTTAAATCTTATCACATACCTTTTCCAAGAACTACACAATTTTTGCTTCTCCAGAGTAACGTTGAATTCAACTTCCCCCCCCCAAGGAACACAGTTCGGTTGGTCTTAAGAATTCAGCAAGTATGCATTTTTTTTTCAATTTTTGCTTGAAATAGGTTTTCAGTTTTTAGCTGTTTAAGGCTCAGATTGGAGGCCCAGCTCCAATCTGAGCCTTAAACAGCTAGCAAGACTTTTAGTTACAGAAATCTCTATGAAAAGTTTTTCATTTTCTTGGTATTAAAAGTTTAGGTTAGCGTAATCGGGGACAACCTAATTTTTGAGTGTTGTTTAAATGACAATCTCGTAATTTGATTTAAGTTCTTTATTCGTAATTGCTTTTGAATATCAAATTTACATACAATATTTTTAGACCATTTGTTTTATTGAATGGTCAATTTACATTATATAAAGTTTTTTTTTTATTTTATTGAGCAGTCAATTTGGCACAACATAAAGTTTTATTATTTTTTTCCAAGTGTTTTGAAAGCATGTAGGGAAAATTCTGGACACATTTGAGGTTTGAATTTTCAGTTTTATATGAATTTTAATGTCTTAAATGAAAATTTAATTAAATCTTTTTTTCTGTTTTTGATCTCAAATGAACCAGGAGAATGAAACATGTTTTTGAAACATATTAATCGACTTTTATGAAATTTTAATTCATATTCCACTGATGAGTTCTGAATTGAAGTTTCAGTAAAAGTAATTAATTTTTATATTTTTATAGTTTTGCATATTTTTCCTTTCCCCATTTTTATTTTTCGACTTTGTTCCACTAATGAATTCATATTTTAATTTTGATATGTTTAGATATTCTGTTAAACCTTTTATACACGATTGCTATTATTATTATTATTATTGTTGTTGTTGTTGAGGAATTGCCTTGCTTTGATTCCAATTTAATTTTAACTTTAGATGCTTTAAGTTTACTTTACTTTAATCCTGCAGCTATAGCACAGAAAGGGTTTAAAATAGTTGTCTTTAATTTTTAGCCTATTTTAATGTTTCTTTTTGTATATACCGTATTTGACGGCATATAAGACGCAATGGCATATAAGAACATAGAAGATATGTGTTCCCAATATTAACAGAAAAAACTGGAAGGGGAATAGTCACCTTGAAAAACAAATGAAAATTTGTTTATTTTTTTGTCTTGAGTAAGTATATTTTTTTTTTATAATAAGAATTTTGTTACATAAAAGTTGAAAGCTTTGTATGATTGTTACTTTTGTATGATTTTATAAGATCATTTTCTTCATCACTTAAATTACACAAACTAAAAATTAATTTTTTCAAAACGATAAATGCCCGCCCTTCCCGGTCTTCATGTATTTAAATTTAGACAATTTTTGAAACACGATAAGATTTAGATAATTTTTTTTACGTTTTTATAAATTACACAAGAAAAATACAGAAAGTGTTGATAAATAAAATTTGAATAAAAGACTGAGAGTATTTCCACAGGGGGCATTCATTTCTGGAATCCTTGTATTAGACATTCTGCAATCCTTGCATATTAAAGTTTTTTTTTTTTTTTTTTTTTTTTTTTTTTTAAGTTTCTGTGCTTGTGATTCAAAATTACTTTCTAATAATTCTACAAAACAGACTATAGTAATAATTGTATAGAATAGAAATTTTTAATAATAGAACTTTATATTATCTTTTACCTGTACAATGTAATTTCATTATTATGTATTTTATTTTCATTCTCTAAAATTTCAGCAGCTTTAGATAGTAGAAACTAATGAAAGCTGACTGAAATACTATTAATTTTAGATTTCAGTCCTGGATAAGCCATGGATGGTTGTAGCCATACTATCTTTGTGAAACAGAATCAATTAAAATCTATTATTTTGAAATCTTGAATTTTTGATAAAAAAAATGGAATATATTTGAATCAACTAAGACAAAGTACATGAGGCTTACCTATGAAGAGAGACAGAGGCTACTTCAAGGAAGACTTGGAACTTCAAGGACTTCACAGGTACATGAACTTACTTGCATTTGTGTTGTTCATAGGGTGGGTAAAGAAGGTCATAAAAAGACCATATTTTGATTCAGCTATTCAGTCACAAAGAACAGAATCCAGGCTGTAGCTACAACCTAGATTCTGTTCCTATAGCCATAGTTTAATACTCCAATCTAATCACCCAGTAAATCCCATCACAGTTACATTAGTTAAAGCGTATTTTAACTTGCCACATTAAATAATAATAATAATAATAATAAATCTATAAAAGGCAGTATTTTAACATCAGTTCCTTAAAACAAAATATTTGAATAAATACAAAAACAGAAAGAAAGAAAAAGAAAAATTACTATGTTTATGATAAGCACAAACATTTTTACCTAAACCTAACTTATCATACCCTCCCAACCAAACCAATGACTTTGAGCAATTAGTCATTGTTTACTCATCAAATCAAAGTACAAATGACTACATGGTTATATTTCATTGCCTGTAGATCTCTGATTTATATAGAAATGTCATTTTTTGAAATTTTAGGTCTGCAAAATATTGTTTTCTATAAAATAAACATTTAAAAGTAGAACTCTGTAGTCAGTAATATAAAATATGAATGAATATTTATTCATTTATTATTTTTCAATATTCCTTCCAAGCATGAAATTCTCAAAATGGTTGGGGAGGGGGGGGAACTTTCATTCTATTACTTTATTTCTAGCAGCCAAAATATGTACTTGTTCTTTTTTTAATTTTTTTAACGCATATCAAAGGTCTGATTCAAAATGGATAATTAAATAATCATAAAATACTTAGTATTGCAAATTGTTTATATAATAATCAACTGGAAACAGTTATAGTATGAAGAATGTGGAGGTGTATCATGATTTATTTTAATCACAAAAGAAAAGAGGTGTTTCTGAAACCAATAAAAAGCTCTGTACAGTGAAACCTTGTCTCGAGATACAAACGAGTAAGCTGGCAACATGTGACATTTCAAAATGCAGTTAAGACAGCGGAAGAAATGCCTTCTGAAGGGAGAATATTCCTATTTGATCCACAAAATGTATGCAAAATAAGAAAAGGTGCAATTGTTCACAGAACATTATCACCCTGAACAAGCAGTACTAAGCCATAGCATAAATATTTGCAATGATACTACCACATCTTGCTTTAGGAACATTTTAAAATGTGGAGAGAAACAAATCCCATTGAACAAATTTCAATAAGAAAAGAGCCTAGTTATTCTCAGACATAGGACAGTTCAGAGAAAAAAAGCTCAGGAAAACGGCTAACTGATAATTTTAAGGAACAGGATTTCTCTTTCAAACAATAACATTCCACATCTTTGCCTTCTCCATTTTCTCTTTAAGCGGTCAGCTTTCTTTTGTAGAGACACGGTAAAATTTAATATAAGTTTTCTAGATTTTATATGTTTACTATAACGTTAAGCAATGTGTATGCATTAGATTTAATGAGTTCCATCAGTTTTGTATTATGAACTTACATCTAAAGTATTTTTTTTTTTTCAGAGCCATCACTTAGGATTTAGGAATGGGTTAATTGATTTTAAATTAATTCCTATGGAGAAAATAGCTTTGATTTACAAATATTTCAGGTGATGAACTATCTTCAGAGACAATTTAAATTTATGATCACATTCCTATGATATTAAAAATATAACAATTGCTAGGAACCTAAAACCCTTGACCAATATTTACTTTAAATAATTCGAGATTTAAAATTTTAATTATCGTATTTGCAAATACTATTGTAATACCTGCTTTTACAATTAACAAAATTATTTGTTAACATTTAAATAGCATTATTTGAATAATTTTACTCTAATACTGTAATTTGGATTAAAAAAGAGGGGAATATTGCTCTATGCTGTAAATTATTAGAAGATAAAAAAATAATTATTAGAAAATATATTATTAAAAAATAAATAATTATAAAATATAATTTAATTTCATAAACTGACTATAAATATTGCAATTAAATGAAAAATAATAAAACTATTTGAACTAAGATTTTAGATGTTAAATTACAGACAATTTACGCAAATTAAACCAGAACCCAAAGTAGAATGATATTTTTAGATTTCTTATATGGTAGTCACCAAAGAGAACTGTTTTAAATATAATTAAATTTGGTTAAAACCACAAAAAATAATATGAAGTCAAAAAACTTAACATAAGACAATAAAGAAAGAAGATTAAATCAATACTGCATCACTTTTATAACAAAAATCATCAATACCTGCTTTTCATCTAGAAAGAAAAAAGTTCTGTTTTCAAAAATCTGCTTTCTTTGCAGATTCACCCCAAAAGAAACTTTATCCTGGTCTATGAGAGATTCTCCAATCGGTGGAACAAAGCTATTAAAAAAAAAGAATCAATGAAAATATTAAATACAAAAAGGATGGCTAGTTGGTTTATTTGATTATGGCAAAGCACTCAAGAGCTATTACACTAAGGGAAGGGATGCCTTCGTGAAAGACTTTCTAAGGGATATTGGCTCATATAACATGCTGCACATGGAGAAAATCACAAGAATGCCCATGCAGCCAGCCCATTCACCTGGAATTGAACTCAGATTGGAACTACCGGTGTTCGGCAAATTTATTATAACATGCTGCACATGGAGAAAATCACAAGAATGCCCATGCAGCCCGCCCATTCTCCGATTGGAACTACCGGTGTTCAGCAATTTTATTATAACATGCTGCACATGGAGAAAATCACAAGAATGCCCATGCAGCCAGCCCATTCACCTGGAATCGAACTCAGATTGGAACTACCGGTATTCGGCAACTTTATTATTCGGCCGATAATGGGCCTTTCAAAAGTCCTACTATATTCATGCTCCATTTGTAATAGATACAGTGGATACTGCTTAATACGGGGTTTGTACATATTTCTGCACATGGAAATTAAGTACTTTTAAGGACCATTAATGAAAAAATTAAGGACCTTTGAGCAAATGAGAACTGAATAAATTCAATTAAAAATATTATTCTATGCTTGAATTTTAGTTCTGTAATACCATCTTAACAATAAAATAGATCCCTAAACAATATGCATTATTACTAAACATGAATTAATTAACATAATTATTAATAAGCTTGAGAATAAAATAAAATTTATGCAATTTATCAAGTAGCATTAAATATTTTGCACTTATAATAGCTGGACATATTTGAAAGAAGATAAGTGAAATTTACGTTTTACTAATAGTTAGCTTTATGTTGAGTTTTTTATGTCTCATTTTGTCACATACTTGGTCAGTCTAATGGTTTAGTAAATAACAGGTAGATTTTATGTCAAACGGCATAGGTTAAAATGAGAAGTACGATCATAATCAACATGATTCATAACAAAAGACTGAATGCTGTCACTGCTGCTGCTTATCTAAAGAGAGACCTGCTGATTAAAACATACCTGAAAGGCCTGATGTAGGCACGGTTGGCAAGTGTTGAAGGTTACTCAAGATCTGTTTAATGCAGTTAGTGTCATAGCTTTGTGCAGAGTTCCAGGGGTTGTAACCCAGTTAATATACTTTAAGGTTCCAATAAGAAATTAAAGCACCAGAGGTGATAAGTTGTTTTGTATCATTTTAAGTCTCACTAGATGCAAAGAACAAGTTTTACTTGAATTTTTACATTTTTGTGTTTTATCTTGTGACTATTAATGAAAGGCAATAACTCACTTTAGTATGCAGAGATAATTTTTAAGGATAAGCAGTTAGCTATAAATAATTAAATTAGATAACCTTAGTCATTATGGATTTACGTGGCCACTATTAAATTTTATTTTTAAACAATATTTGTTAAAAAGCTCTATTAAAACCAAAATCTAATAAAATTTCACAGTTTAAAATACATGTAATTTATGACACTGATTCTTAAATGATATTAGGACAATTACACATTAAAAGCTACAAAACATTTATGTTTTGTAACAAGAACACTCAACAAAATATTTATCCGTGATTTTAATTTAAAGCCTTCCCAAACATTTTGGCTAGTTTATATCGATTTCCTTCTCTAAGCATTTTTTCTAACAATTAGACATTTGTCTCAATATGCAAACCAATGCTCTCGCTAGTTGCTGCGTGCTTTGTCTCCTAACTTGTCAAACTTTCCACAATGCACCTATGAGGATTTACTTGATCTGGTAAAAGTTAAATAGTCCCAAACTCCTGATAGACGTGGAGCAAATTATTGCTATGTGTGAAAGTAACTACAATATCAGACAAAGGTTTAAATAAGCCTCTTATTTAAAATGAACTTAGAACATAAAGGCATGTTCTGATGCTAACAAAATCAATTACAGCTCATGGTGACATAATTAAACAAGAATAGTCAAATTCAAACTAAAAATGTGGACTAGTGGTAAAAGATAATAAAATTCAATTTTTATTTAATCTGGCTCACTAAATCTATCATATGAGGAAATAGAAATGGAAAATTTATAGTAAAGGCTAAAATTATAAACGGGTAATTTACATAATAATAACTGCACATATCTTTGAGAATAATTTTCTTTATTCTTTCTTCAACACGTTTCCTTTTCATTTTAGAATTTTTGGATTTAATTAAGGATTTCTGTTATTCTAAAAAACACTAAATGCATTTAGAATGTATAAAAAAAGTAGCTAATCTTATTTCTTTTGTAATATGAACATTCAGGAGAAATATGAAATATATATGATAAAGGTTGTTTCCAGAGCTGGTGTGGCAGAATTTTTAAAATTTAGTGACATACCGAACAACAAAATCTAGAAATGGCAAAACTCTCAGAATTTAGAGCAGGCATTGGGAGCAGAATTTAAAAAAGCACTAGGCAGCAGAATTTAGAATTCATAGAGACCGCATCAAGTGGGAAAATGCCTAGTGCCAGCTCTGTATATGATGCATTAAGACATATTAATGAATATTTTAAATTGTAAGTTTTCAATTTCTTTATTAATAAAAGAATTACTTTGTATAATGCCTGCCCAAGTGATAAGATTAGAAGCATTTTTGATAGTTTCCATGCTTGTGTCTAGTGAAAAGCCGAGAAAATAAAGGGAAGATAAACATGTTAAGAAAATGACTCAGGAGTAAAACATTCTAATATTATGTTTTCATTGTCCTTCCAGGCGTTCTCCAAAAAGTAAGAAATTCATCGCAAACTTTCTGTAAAATACATCCATTACATGTTGACACCATGGAGACATTTTTCATTTTGTCACATATTTCTCGAATTTTCTAGAATGACAATGAAAAATAAAAATGTTTTATTTTAATGTTATTTTTTAAATATAATTTCAATATATTACCATTAGTTTAATGAAATTTATCAATGTTATGATGTTTTAAAAACAGTCGTCGAAAAATTCTCAGATCTCAGAATTAAAACTTTTCTATAGAAACTAATCTTAAAATCCCCAAAATGTTGGCAAGTTGCGAAATTTAGAACCGTTTAATAAAAGAATTCACATCCCCAAAAGCAAAAAGTTGTTTAAGAGCTCTTTATTATAAAAAATGAATTTCGAAATGCTTATGTTTCACTTCTTGCTTAGAAACTTGAGTATACTGTTATTTATATTAGAAATAGAACAAATTATAACCCATTCAAAAAATAACCATATATGTCAGTGAATCGCCAAAAATATTCCTCCAAAATGCTAATTCACACTCAAAATGGCAGTCGTAAAAACAGACAGAAATTTTAGATGATTAAAATTAAGGACCTTCTGCTTATTTTGGCCAAAATTAAGGACTTTTAAAGACCAAAAATCAATTCAAAAAAATTTAAGGACTTTTAAGGACTCTTAAGGACCATACAAACCTTGTAATATGATCATGTATCAATTCAAAAAAATTTAAGGACTTTTAAAGACTCTTAAGGACCGTACAAACCTTGTAATATGATCATGTCCCTACCGACCTCATTGATTGTACGAAGTGGCTGAGTTTTATATGTGGTGCTAGGCTGCATGCAGGATTTTGTTTTGCTTAGGGATACAAGGTGATTTTGGGGAGGGATATAAAAATAAAATTTTTAAAAATAGACTTATTTTATATAAGATATCAATAATTATTTTTAAGAATTAAATGTGCAAATACCTGAACCTTCCTCTTCTTGCATACGGTCCTTCTGTTGAGATTAACACTCTTTTTCGATATGCCATTTAATATGCAAGTTACATACACTTTTTTTATATTTTTTTACATAAAACTTTCATTATTTTTTCCTGTGGATGGCAAAAGCCATCTTAATTCAGAGAAATTGTAATTATTTTAACTTGTTACACAAATCAATACAATATATAGGCATAACAAATATTATTTAAAAATTTATCCACTTGAGTTTGTTGTATATTTCTTGTTAGTGGTTTTTTAATAGTTGTCTCCAAGACACAATATTGTTTGCATCTCCAACTTTAAATTCGAGCATTCTTCTCAAAATTTTTAATGCTTGTCGAGATTGCGGCTGTTGGTATAGCATCAAGATTTTCACTTTGGGGATCATTTTCACTAATTCCTTTGTTTTCTTTAACTTGATGATCATCTTTTGTAGCGAGTCTGGATATTTACATCAATTCCCATATATTCAAGGGGAAAATCTTATCATGAATTTCTTCATCGTCACCCTTGTCTTCTGGCAATTCTTCTTTATCTTTTAAGCTTAAGTCCTTCTGTTTGGACATTTTGAAGTACGACCAAACAACAAAAGCATGATGTGGATGGGTGAACTGAATAAACTGCGCAAGTAAAAAAAGGAAATTTTTTATACAGATACTACCTCACATTTTCTTTCTTTCTTTTCTTTCTTTCTTTTTTTTTTTTTTTTTTTTTTTTTTTTTTTTATTTATTTTTTTTAATGATGCTTTCCCTCAACAGGTCTGAGCCAATTCTAAGCACCTCTTATGATCCACAACCACCCATGACTGGTTCAGATACAAATATTCTAGCATTTGTACTTCGACATGCAAAAGTAATCGACTTTGAATAAAATCACTAAACTCACTTGAGGATTTGGCTTTGAAATTTTAAAAGCGATTTGATTTTTATAAGCGGTAGCATTGATCTTATTAAGTGGTTATTTTGTAATGATATTGTCAGCCCAAAGGGTGTTAGCCCAGAAGGGCTATTAATTTCGTTTTGACATTTTGCATTGGTTCACTACAAATATCGGTTCACTTTTCAAATTGTTGCCACCAAATATTACAGTCCTGTGTTATATTTAAAGAAATTAAATGATGAAGAATCTGCATAAATGTATGTATGTTTCTCGCATTGTGATAAAATAATGGTACCTAGAAACGTCAAATTTTGAATTGCGTAATCTTCCACTGAATATGGGCATCTGAAAGCCTGAATGAAATTTG